AATGGCCAGAATCACCGAAGTTATGGTCATATTTCTAGACACTTGCATACGCCTTATAGCATTATAGTTTTGGTGAATAGCATTACTCATGTGAAAAGCCAATTTTCAATGCATTCAGCCCTATGCAAATAGTCAGAAATATGGCCATAACTTCGGTGCTTATGGCCATTCGCCCGTTTTGACAATTTTTTATGAATCTCCATACAATACTGGACATGACCATATCAACCACGACTGGATCAGCTAGGTGATGTTCACTGTATTTCCTTCTCAGTGTAAATTTAGCCCTTACTAGCCTTATACAAATAATTTACTTTTTTGTAACTGATTAAATTATGTAAAGTACTCTTTATTTAGTTAAATGTTTAACATTTAACAACTCAAAACATCATCACGCTGAGCCTACACCAATTACATTAAACTTTTATGCACAATTTACAAAATAAATATGATAAAATAATCTTACAAATTATCATAATGCGATTTTTAAAAAAAAGTAACTTACCCTCATTTACGTGATGACCCTCAGCATTATCGGCACCACTACTGGCACCCGCACCGACATCAACCACCTGACCTTCCTTCTCGGCGTCCATCAGTAGCTGTATAAAGTCATTATACTTAACCTGTGACTGTCTATCTGTGGTCAGTCTACTTGTGATAACCTCGCGCACGGGCTGTATGTAAAACTTAGCGTAACTTTTATAAAATTGTGACACCCATTTGGTCACCCTGGGAGGCAACAGTAGGGTGGCCATCTCTTTTACGGGGTTCGGGTCAAACGTATGCACAGCGTTGGTTAGAAAGGGACTGTCGGGCGCGCTATAAATATTGGCCTTGATGCCAAACGCGCATGTTGCAATTACGTCCATGGTGTAACAGCCAAAAGCATGTTTAACATCCAGGTCAATTAAACCTGTGCCGGGATCGGCGTACTTGTCCAGGTGTCGGACAAAGTCGGTCATACATTCCCTAATGCGGGGAAACATTTGTCGCATTTTGCCCGAACTGAACGCCGGGCTAATGATAGAGCGAACGCGTTTCCAGTCATCCCCTGTCAGTCGGAACAGATTGTCGGCGTTGTTAGCGTCGGTTGTTTTGCGTACGTTTGACCGGTCGGTGAACACGTGAAAGTCCTTCACCAGAATGTCCTTGATCAGTTTTGGGTCACCGATGGTTATGATGGGAGTGGTGCCCATATAATGGCTGATTATATGATGGTAAATAAAATAAAATTGAATTACTTTCCATTTAAATTTCTTTCTCTTGGCTTTACTTGCCCATTTATTAAATGCATTAGTATTTTTGTTAATAATTTATAACTTATTTATTTTATATGACAGTTTGATTTTTTTTAAGGATTTTAAATACAAATTGCTAATTATATCTACCAAACATAGTTAAACATTTAGTGTCTAAGTTGTAATAATATATACATCTTATTTTATGTAATTAGTTAACTAAAATTTTATATAAATTTATTAAATTGGTTATTTTAACAACTATTAAACGTGTTTATTTACCCATATATTTTACCATATTTGTTAAACCAACTAAGCTCCTGTATTGGCTGCGGTTTAATCATTAAATCTAGGTAATTGCCAAACAGTGGTATTGCTCTGGGACCTTGAACACCCAGCTTGGACCAATAATCATAACCACGGTTCAAATAACTAAATAAAAATTGGCATTAATATTTATTATAAATATTTAATTTTAATGTTATTATTTACAAATATAATGTAATTAATATAGATAAAACAATTAAAATAATATAAACTTCCAGAGAATCCATGTTTGTTAAGAATATTTATTTTACAAACTTATATAACATTTATAAACATGAGTTTAAAATAAAAGCCTTGTTTGTAACAACTGTATAAATGTATGTCACTAAAATACAGGTATATGAAATTGAATGATAAAGCAACTATTTTGGACTAGGATCATATGTGCGTGTTTTGTAATTAAAAATGAATGCTAGTTTTAAATTAATAATTATGAAAAATTAGAAACAATTCATTTTTATCTAATTGGCAAAGATTTTAAATTGTGAGTTAATAATAGATTTTAAAATATCTAAAAACTAAAAATAAAACTAAAATTATTAATTAAATCAATATTAATTAAAAGGTCGTATAATAAAAAAAATGCCAATTAATGGTTAGTACTACTGTACACTATAAGTAGTAATCATGATTAGTTAAAAAACTATTATTAATTACAAGTATTAAAATATAATTAATTCATAGGTAAAATTCAAGTTCATTTTAGTTATTTAGAGAGAGAGAGAGAGAGAGAGAG